GGCGTTTATCCAGAATAACAGTGTTGCTGCTTCTATTGTCCGATGGAAATACGACCAGGCGAGCGCGGCCCAAGTGCCATACATGACTGGACCTCAAGACTGAGAGGCTGCATTGCCCATTCAGTGCGCTCCAGCTGTATTTACTTGTCTTCAATGGACACTCCTGGAGGTATGCAATACAACAGTCCAAACAGCTACAACGAGCCAACCTGTGCCATTCCTGACCCTATGTTGATATGGCAGCGATAACAAACCGAGAGTGCCAAACCTGCAGCCGACGGTGACTGCACAAGTATAGCCTTCGGTTGAATCTTGGATGACAAGCATTTGATATATATCAAGTATCCCGTCACATTCTGCTTCAACTGATATAGAACATTCTTTACTCAAATGCTTATAAGCAGTCTGCCACTTTGTTATTCACTTCACCCACGTCCTCGGTCAAGTTGTATGGTCTAAAACACTAATATTTGAAATAGGGTAAGGGCCCAATACTGCTTCGAATCCCGCGAAGAACTACCAGGCCTGTGAGGATGACGGAAGACCACATTCACTCTGTAAATCACAAACAGTGAATGTAGCGCGGCAGACAAACAGAACTTTTGACGAGAGCCTGCCACATGGTGGACGCTGCTCCATAGAGTCGCTGCCCTTTCTTAAGTTGAAAGTAACTTTTTCGATACTCCTCCAACAAAATCCACCTTCCAGGAGCATTATGGAGTACGGGTTTTCTTTCAAAATAGGAGGATGAGAAAAATCTACTTCTAGTTTGCAACTTCATACCTTGAAATCACTAGGAGCTTCTAACATACTGTTCACATCTTGTCGCACTTCACGACGTGCAAGCAGGCCTGTTCTAATCATTCATGTGGGCATCACATTTGCGGATATTCTTACTTCATTAGATGTCCTGAGACCAACCGCAGCAACCGAATTGACTGAGCAACACAGTCGAAAGACGATGGAACCTTACCGGGCAGCACCGAGTCGCGTGGATTGTGTAGGTCCAAGGAGAAAGTAAGGAGCACCCAATGGTAAGCGGGAGTAGACAAGAAAGCCAGTACTTACACACAGTATCCCCAATGATCTTGAACGTGTAGCTTGATATTTGGTCTCGGTTGCGTTGGAATTTTGTTGCATTTTCTTTCACTAGCTTTGAATGAGTGCGCTCTCTGCGCAGCCATGTGCTGCATCAGCCACGCCCGGGCAGTTCCCATGGGCGGCTTACCTACCTGGTGTGCAAATGAAAACTGGTAGGGTTGAAGATGATGATGTTCCTAGAAAGCCGGACCTATCTCGTTCCTCTCGTCAGTTATTTGAAAGGCCTGCCCAACTACAGGTATCCTCATAATCCCATGGCTTTGAGACCTTTGGTACGGCGCATCTCACAACACACAGCGGGACTAGAGTTTCAAGCGCTGCTTTCCGTGAGGAAGATAGGAATGCTAAGGAGAAATTAAGCATCATTTTAAGCTGGCGATCTATCGGCCATTGCCGCGGCCAGCCGTTCTCATTCACAAGATGGTCTGTGACCCGTGGCTTTCCCAAAGATACCACTCTCGTTTCATGAA